TAAAAATCGTATGTATTAACTCTGAATCTATTGTAAACAAAATAAATTGTATCGAAATATTACTTAAAACTAAAAGTCTGGATTTACTATGTATATCCGAATCATGGCGTAATGACAATAATATAAATTCTTTTTATCTTCTTAATGCTCTCTTATGTAATGATTTGTAATACTTTTTTGATTATTTTTTAGGTTATTACATTTTTATATTTATAGATATATATATCCCTTACTCCGATATTCGATTTTAAAGGAAAAATGTAATTTTAGTAGGTTTCCAAGACATTAACAATTGATTCCAACATAAAATTTCTTGTTGTCGATCACAAACATTTGTCACCCAAAGAGAATTGGAATTTTCAGAGTTTGTGAACATTCCGTGGCAGTTACAATGGCTTTGTTATCTTTCGATTAAATTACGACAGATCATTTATTAGTAAATTCCACGACGAACAAATTATATCTTGTATCAACACAAGCCAAAAAGAATCGGTGTATTATTGGTCTATCAATGCCAAAATCAGAATAAACAAAAAAGTATTTTCATCTATGGTTCCATCAATACGATTTTCACCATTACTTTGCGTTGTGCGATGTATTTGCAACCTTTTGTAAATCAAAAATAATGACACCCTTAAGAACATCAACAAAAGCCGGCCCTGCATGTAACTATTTTTTCAGTGCAATATTTCATATTTATTGAAAGTCAACATAAGTGCTCAATTTTATTTAAGAATTTATATTGTGCATTATGTCCACGGACTATTAGTTATATCACAGAACACTAATCACAACTTAGTATTTGTGGTTATATGATTGTTTAACTGTCATTGCCGGCTTGCCCACGAAACTTCAAAGGAGTGTTGTTTCTCTGTGTTCCTAGTTCTCTGGTGTAAACATGAAAATTTGACTTCATGACCACAGAATGCCCACTCTCAGATTCCGCCTTTGAAGTTTTTCAGCACGCGCGCCATGTTTTAGAAGGAAACACCTAACACAGACACAAGGTTAGTAAATAACCTTGACACAGACATATGATTTGTAAGGTTATGTAATTGTTTATGTGGCCTGTTTGTGGGGAGCAAGGTAGTCTGGGCACACTTTAAACTGTTTTATTGATTTATTAACAATAAACTACATACTAAAAACAAGTAAGAAAACTGTAAGAGTTCTTTTCGTTGTTGCCTCGTAGTGTTGTGTTGTATCCGTGTTTGGTTCTGACAGACATCAGCTGGCTCTCCTCTCCTCTTCTTCTCTCCGTCGACGTTCCCTCACTTCGGTAGCACAGCAACCCATGTGCGGCTGGGTAGGTTAACTGTCAATCTGCCACAGGGTTCCCCTCCAGTGAGGAACCTGCTGGTTTCAAACGGCTATGTTGACCTGTGTTGGGCCGCTGGAATATATATGCTGGTTTGAGTCGGTCCCTGGAAATTCGCTGAGGAACATTTTGGACATCCACAGTTAAAAACTTATCACTTCGTTCTAACACTCTTAAGACAGTTTTACATTATGCTATTTTCATGTTAGGCAAGAGCCATGCAAGACAGATCATGGAACTGCGCATGCCCACGTGCTATTTCCATGCAATTCCTGTGCTAGACGAAAAATTAGAACATGTCCTATTTTTCATGCTATTTTCTTGCAATTTATCGTTAAAATTCATGTTGCCAACATAACAATTTATAATAGATTACAGAATAAAACATAACCTTATCTCTATCTTTAGCGTCCCTTAGCCCACGTGTGTATTGTTGTGTTTTGATTTAAATTAAGTTTATTAAGTGGTGATAAATAGATATACTATGTTAAAGTTAATGTAAAAACGACAGGGTGAGTCGTTGACTATGGATGATTGTTTCTACAACAGCAATATTCAACAATACCAACGTTTTATTTTCTTTGGTTGACATCCTTCACCCTTTTAATAACCATAGTGTATATTTATAAAATAGTTATATTTATTTATTATATTATTTATTTTAGTACTTAATTATATTTATTTAAAATAAAATAACCTCAAATTGATAAATATTTTCTCTGTTGGCAACAATGAAAGTGGGATCTAAAATTGCACAGAAATATCTCTGATGTAAAAAGGTCAGGCTAGGCAAGAGATGTGCCATGCAAGACGGACTTGCCTAGCATGAGACCATAGCCTAGATGTAAAGCTGCCTTAAACGGGCCGGTATAGGAAGGTGTAAGAGGAGGCTTCACTTTATCGGTCCGCACAAACACATGACTCGTAGTCTGTAGATCCGGATGGACAAAGGCAGTACGGGCTGAGTGGTTGCCCGTCGGTACAGGACGCAGTGCTCCCGTGGTCTCACGTAGTCGTTGGATAAAACTATGCTCGTCGGGTGTAGCAGCACTAGGGACAAGAAGCTGTCCAGGGAGACTCACTGGGGCACCATACACTAACTCGGAGGCTGTACATGCAATGTCTTGTTTGAAAGTGTTTCGAAGGCTTAGCATGACCAGAGGAAGGGCTTCAACCCACGATACTGTATCCCCGGCGATGAGAGCACCCTTGAGCGTTTAGTGGAAACGTTCAATACATCCGTTTGATTGTGGGTGGTAGGCAGTGGTTTTAATATGCTGTACACCTAGCAATCCATTGAGCTGGCGGAACAACTGGCTCTCAAATTGCCTACCTGGGTCCGTTGTTATAGTTGCTGGCACCCCAAACCGGGATATCTATCCCTCAAGGAGCTTCTTCGCGACAACTTCGGTTGTAATCTCCGAGATAGGTATGGCCTCTGGCCATCTTGTGAAACGGTCGATGATTGTGAGCAGGTATCGAAATTTTCCGGTATCGAAAATTCCAGATTTGCTGGAAGTTCCCGTCCCACAATGTCTATGTGTATGTGTGCGAATCTATCGTCTGGCATTCTTAGAGGTGTCACAGGTGTAAAAGTGTGACGTCCAATTTTGGCACGTTGGCATTGGATGCACTTTCGTGACCACTGCTTGACTTGGCGATTCATGTTATGCCGCACAAAACGTTCAGCAATCATTCGTAATGTAGCAGCATGCCCTGGGTGGGACTGCGTGTGGAACTTCAGGAAAACATCTCTTTGCAACACAGCTGGCACATAAACTCGTATACGACCATCTTGGACTGAACAATAAATAGGTCGCTGGTTATCTGGTAGAACTATGCGTTGAAGTTGTAAGGAACTGGCAGGATCGTTCAGAGTTTATTGAAAACCCTCATCTGTAGTCTGAGCTTCGGATAGCCGGTCATAGTCAATGGTAATGGGTGTTGTGATAGCGTCTACTTCAGGTCGTGAGAGACAATCGGCAACGATATTGGCTGTGGCCTGTATATGTCGAATATCGGTCGAGAATTGGCCAATAAATTCTAGTTGACGTATCTGTCGTGGAGACTGCGCTCATGTCGCTGTTGGAAGGGAAACGTTAAAGGCTTGTGATCAGTATAAATGGTAAACGACATGCCCTCAAGAAAATGTCGGAAGTGATGTATACCACTGAATATGGCAAGCAACTCTCGGTCATAAGTGGTATAGTTTCGCTCCGTCCTAGAAAACTTTCGAGAGAAGAAAGCGATGGGCTGTAGGTGTTCACCTATAAGCTGTTGCAAAACACCGCCGATGGCAGCATCTGACGCATCAACAGACATGTTCAATTGGGCATTTGGTGCTGGAAAGACTAATTCAGTCGATGCGGCCAAGAGTTCTTTGACCTTGGTGCAAGCTGCTGCGGCTGCTGGTGTTAATGTTAGTTCTTGCTTTTTCTTTTGCTGAGACAATAACTCCGTTAGTGGCATAAGCTCATTGGCAGCATTAGGTAACCAACGTCTGTAGAAATTGAGCATACCCATAAATCGTGGTAGCTGTCGATAGGTCGTAGGTTGTGGAAACTTGCGAATCGCGTTAACTTTAGCCGGCAATGGGCGAACGCCAGTTGGGGATACCGTGGCACCCAAGAAGTTCACTTCACGTTTACGGAATTTTGATTTGTCCTTGTTGATTTGGAGTCCATTTGCTTCCAGAATCCGAAGTACTGATGCCAGGTGTTGCTTATGCTCAGTCTCAGTCTCTGAGGCAACCAAAATATCGTCAATGTATACATACACATATGAGCATTCTCGAAAAAGGTGATCGAGGTATCTCTACGATATAAAGAGATTGGAAGCTTTCGAAATGTGGCTTTATCGCCGTATCCTAAAACACCATGGACAGCGAAAATCACAAATATAGATGTCCTTAAAAGAATAAACCAAGAACGCCAACTTTTCGAAACCATCAAGAAAAGGAAAACGGCGTATCTAGGTCACATCATGCGAAATGAAAAATACCAGTTCCTCCAACTTATAATCGAGGGTAAAATTGAAGGCAAGAGAGGAATGGGACGCAAGAAAATGTCCTGGCTCCGAAACATAAGGCAATGGACAGGGATTAACGACATACAATCTCTGATACATATTGCAAGAAATAGAGAGTTAATGGAAAATGTGATCGCTAACATCCATTAGTGGATTTGCATCTGAGAGAAGAAGAAAGAGGTATCTCTGGAATGTCTGGGCAGCATTTCGCAAACCGAACGGCATTCGGAGAAACTCGTACAGCCCAAAGGGGGTTATTACAGCCATCTTTTGGACATTCTTCGGGTGGACTGGAATTTGGTAAAAAGCACGTACCAAATCGATGCAAGAGAAAATTTTCTTACCGTGTAGCTGGTTAACAAAATCCTGGATGTGCGGTATCGGGTAGCGATCTGGTTTCGATCTGGTACGTCAGAAAATCGGCTCCTAGTATGGGTGTGGTGACATCTGCGACTATAAATGTCCATGTTACAGGTTGGCCTAGACCAAGATTTAGTGTAAGCTGTTTCTTACCATATGTTTGCCTGAGTCGCAGTGCAGATTTTACGTGAAAGCACACTTAGGTCTGCCCCTGTATCAATAAGAAATTGAAGTTGGAGAGCACTATCGGTAATGAAGAGGCGACGTGGAATGTGAGGGGCTGCGGTTGCCGCCATTACTGCGCCCTTTGATCGTTTTTTGTAAAATTGCAGGGTGGTCTACATTTCTTTGCTTGTGCACCAAATCTTTGATGGTAGTAACACTGTTCGTCAGATGATGACTTGGTAGTCTTGACCATTTGAATCTGTTGACCTTCTTCAGCTACAGTTAATCTGTTGGATAAAGCATTCACTTGATCACTCAATGCAGTCACTGTTTTGTCTAAGGTAGAGCTTTCGGTAACAACCATGACAGGAAAACTGGAACACCGGAGGTACGTATCGGCTTTCTTAGCAAGTTCTTCTAGGTCCCCATCAAGAATAGATATAACACTTCGAACTGAAGGTGGTAGGCGGTCCAACCAAAAATTTTTGAGAACTTGCGTACTAATGCTATCCATGGCCAACGCTTGAGTGAGTTCCATCAAATTCAGGATCTTTTCATCTGAGCTGGTGCCATACCTGTCTAGAAGTCGAGCTTTTAGTTGTATATAAGCATTGCCAGCAGTGGGATTCTTTGCTATATCTGCTACTTCTATAAGTACTTCGCTGTTTAAACTAGCAACAGTATGGTCGAATTTACAGTTGTCAGTTGTGATTTTGGCTTGTCGAAACTGAGCTTCCAGCCAGAAAAACCATAGTTCTGGTTCAGTGCGCCAAAACTCTGGCGCTTTGATGCCTACCCGTGCAATTAACGAATGGTCATCGACTTCGCACGTTGTAATATTTATATTTGGCATTGTTTGGTCAGTGTTTGTCATCTTTGTGTATAAAACGTACTTACAGTTTTTTTCTCGGGGTCACCAATGTGGCCTGTTTGCGAGGAGCAAGGTAGTCTGGGCACACTTTAAACTGTGTTATTGATTTATTAACAATAAACTACATACTAAAAACAAGTAAGAAAACTGTATAAGTTCTTTTCGTTGTTGCCTCGTAGTGTTGTATCCGTGTTCTGACTTCTGACAGACATCAGCTGGCTCTCCTCTCCTCTTCTTTTCTCCGTCAACGTTCCCTCATTAGACACAGTTACATCTAGAATTTTAAACTGCTGCGTTAGACTTTTTGTTTTCTGTACACCGAGCTGGGGCTCGATCCCACATCCACTGAACCATTCGACAGTGAAGCGAATGAGAGGCAGCCGCACATCCCGCTGAGCTATCTGACCGAATAACTGTCAATCTGCCACATTTATATCAGAGATATATCTGGTTTATATTTATGTTTAATTATATATATTTATGTTATTATATTTAACAATGTTAATATAATTGTATAGTATGTCTATGATTGCCGTAAGTCAATTAAACCGGGTTAGTTTTTCTATGCACACCACATAAATTTTCATTAAACAACATTGGTTCCCTTTAAAACATGGCGGAACGTCTGCGCGATGCGCGTACTTAATTTTCCATGGAGAGTGGCCATTCTGATTGTTTATTATTCAATGACCAAAGCATATGACAAATCACATGATAAATCATCTAGTGTAAAGTCGACTTTAGTCAGTGCAGATGGAGCCGTGTTTTGGAACACACTCCTACCCTCTCCACTTAGAATTCTTTTATAATCTGTGCTTTCAACCAGTTCTCTTGACATTTTAACATTTTGTGCAGCTGTTTGTGTTATTTGTTGTGCGTAATAAGTAAACAAATAAAACTACGGAAATTTCCTTTTCCTTTGCATTATTGTGTTTTTAGAAATTGTGACATTCTTTTAAAACTTTAGATAATAACATCTGTCACTTTAAAAGACATCACTGCAACCAAAATCCTGTGTGATGGGATCCAAAAAGAAAGATCTAGAAATAATATACAGCTTGCAGTGGAAGAACAAGTCCTCTACAAATGGAGGTGACAAAGCAAATATTATCGGAATGTACGACATCCCTACAACAACCCTCAACTGGGAAACATTCAAGTCTTATTTGGTAATATGCTAAAATTAATTATTATATACTTTCTAATTTTATGACTGATGAAATTATTTTGACCTGGTAATGGTGCAATATTGCAGGCCATTCTTGATATAATCAACAAATAAGTAGTTTTATGATTTTATATAAACTTGCTTAATCTGACATTTTTCAATAAATTTAATGTCCATTTGGATGAAATTTTTAGATTCTATCATTTTTTATATATCTTTTGGGATTCCCCTACCTATATAAGAATACAACAACTGTGATTATTTTATTTTTTTATTCTATATGACATATGATGACTCACTATGTTATCATCTAATAACTCATCTCTTCTATATTCTTTAAAATTACACCCTTCTTAATCTGTAAACATAATAATTTAAATAAATGGGGCAGTTTTTTAGAAACTTTATGCATGAAATACCCCTTAAAATGAATATTTTATAAACAATGATGATTTTACTTTCAGCAATTCAAGATGATGTATGTGAGTCTAGGGTGAATTTACTTTGCTTGTATAACTTTTATTTGATACTGTTTTTGCTTTTCTTTGATTGCATTCTTAAAGTTTTATCTGGTATATATTTACACATAGTAAGTAATCCTTTCTCAGTTGAGTTTACTGAAGGTACAGCTGAATATAGCTGCAGATGTCAAAAATATTTGGGTTTGGCAGTGTTGGAATGTTTTTATAATGCATTAATATGTTGTATGCTTCAAATATAGAGAGAAAACTTTTAAAAAGTACATTTTGATTATACTATTTAATAGTATTATACATTATACATTATACATATTATACATTTAATAGTATACTAATAATGTAACAAATAAACAAATACTTACTCATTCTTGTTTTATACAAATCAAAAATTGCAGAATTTATAACATAATGTACAAAATGTACTTTTCTAAAGCTTTATCTTTTTATATTTTAAAGCATATAGCACCTACATTAAAAAAACATGCCAACACTGCTATACCGAAATTTTTTGTTCCATGTTTGACATTTGCGGCTATGATCAGCTTGTACTTTCGGTAAATTTAGCCCTTTTCTCCATGCAATTTGATTTAAGCAGTATGTTTATACCTTAGTTTCTATCTTTTCAGATAATTTTAACTACCATCCTTTGTTACAATTTTGGCATCATGAAGGAATAAATAGCATATAGTTAGCTTAACAAAAAGCATTGCATTCAAAGGGTTTATACAGAATCTAATATCTTTATTTATTTATTTATTTCAACAGTTGAACAATTTACAATAAAATACAAAAAATAGTAAAAAGTAAACATGTACAATAAACATCAAGACAACAGCAAAGAACAATTAAATAATACATCAAAACAGTATATCAAATCACAAAAGGTAAAAAATATGACATATTTAGATTAATTAGATTCTTCAAGTTGCCTTTTAAAAACATTAATGTTTGGACATAATGATCCAGTAGTAAGTCATTGCAAGAGCTGAGTATTCTCAACAAGGAAAAATGATGAGCATAATCACTATTAAAATGATATAAAAGAGTGCATTATGCTGAGTTCTATGTAATGTATTTAAGTACACATTGGCTAATAAAGGGGACAATTAATAACATTCTTTAGAATTCTGAATAAAAATAACATATCAGCTCTCAACTTGCGATTCTTCAGTGTAGCAATGTTAAATTGAGACATTATTACAGAATAATCTATGGATTAATTTTCACAGAATAATCCATCAATGTAGACTTGAAATTTGGACCAAACAACAGAGCAGTATTCAGAGATCATCACTCAGGATAAGTAAAGCTGAGATTATCAAATCCTGTTTCTTTAATTTTAAGAAAATGGCTTTTAAATGCCAGTGCACAAATCAATAATACACCCAAATCTCCAATCTCCTTAACTGAATCCAAGAATTCAGTTCACTGAATTCATTATTAAGAACATATCTATTAGCTATTGGATTATTTATATGACCAAATGAAATACAAGAACATTTAGTTGGATTTAAGCTTAAGTACTTAAATCATTTTGTTTCAACCATTGTTTATCATAAGCAAATAACAGAAAGTGGGAGTTTTTGATAGCCTTACCAATACTGTTAATGGAAAAGTTAAAAAACAAGGGACTGCAGTGAGACCCTTGTGAGACACCAGAACAACAATGGAATTCTTTTGAAATATAATTGTTAATATGAACTTGCTGTGTACATCCCATCAGAAACTTTTAATCCAATTCACAATGGGGTCACCAAAGCCAGGTGCCTGAGATTTGTGAAGCAAAAGGTTATGATTCATGCATTCAACAAGTACTGTTGGTAATTGGCAAGGTTTCTTACTGTTGACTTCCAGTTTGAAAATTTATGTTGTTCATCAATAATTATGTTTCCGCAAGCCCAGGTGAGATTTATCAATATCAATTTATCAAGAATTTTAGGGATTGCTGATTGAATAGTTATACCTTTATAATTATTAACACACTCATGATTGCCAGATTTATAGATAGGTGTAAGAAAACTATTTTTTCAATATTGTGGACATATAGATGATGACAATGACAAATTGAAAATTTGTTGTAAATGTTTACAAAGGAAAAATACAGTTCTTCATAAGTACTGCAGCACTCAAAACTGGAAAGTTCAATGATATAAACTCTTTGATAGGAACAAATATATTAATGGCATCATATAAAATATGATAAATATTTTCTATGCAGCAATTAATATCTGATTCATCTAATACCTTGTTCCAAAGAATTGAGGCTAAATATCCCTGGGCATTATCCCAGGATGCCTCAGGTAGGTTGTAGTCACCACATATACAGAATTCACATCACTAATCTATCTGCTTATCTGCTAAGTCCAACATAAAGGTGGAATGCTCCTCATATACTTATCCAGATGACTGTGGAGGAAATTACACAGCACCAATGACTAACTTTTGAGTCATTGTGTTTCCAGCTTCCATTTCTAGCTCTTGTGTTTGTGTTAGTCTGCATAAATTTGATTTTACTAGTTCTATTTATTCTGCTGCTGCTGGGTCAATTACAATTTCTCCGGACCATATTCAGGTCCTTATTATAATGTCCATGTCATCATCATACGCTAAAATTTGGACTGTTGTCTGCTGTAAATTAGCATATTGGACCACTTCTAAGGATATGTTAAAAAGCTGACAGGCTAGTGAGTCTTCCTTTCTTAATTCTCTTGTGTTTCAAAGGTGGCTGATATGTCCTTCAGAATTATATATAGGATATAAGTAAAGGTTTGGTTTTATTACACTTATATACTGCCTTAAATATGACAAACAGATGGTACATAATATCCATGTCAAAGTCTCACATATTTATGAGAATTTGGCACATTCTGAATATCTGGTTAATATTCTAATGTCTCTGCCTGAAACCTGTGGGAAAGAGGGTTGTTCATCAGTAGTTAGTGATTTCTAGCTACTTCCACTTTTTGTGCAATGGAAATATTAAGCCCAGACTCCATTCCTCAGGTATTTGTTCTTAAGATCAAATATTACAAAAAAATCTTGTGTGCATAGAAATCAGCCTACTTTAAACTTTTGAACTTGAACTATATTTTTTTCAGAAAACATTACTTGGATCAAAAAAGGGATATACTGTTTGAAAGATTAATAATATGCTTTAATATGAGTATAAATGTGTCATGGATTGCTTATCATTTACATGCCTAGCTACTGATAAACATAGAAACATGTTCATAACGATAAGCCTGACTCCCAATCTGGAGGACCAGGGACACTTCTGTTAGGGCTATCATACCTTAGCCAAGATGTTTCACCAAGACTCAGCCACTAGTCATTCATCTTCCTCCTGTCTCTTGCCATTTTTACTAATTTATTTGTTGACATTCAGCTTATATGATCGTCCATTCTACTCTTTCTTTTTCTTACCCAGTCCTTGATGTTCTCTTCCTTGCATCTACGTTGTATACATGTACTAATAGCTCTGTCCCATAGTGTCTTACCATCAATTTTTTTAAGTGTTTTCATCTCTGCTATATCCTTTTGGTCCTCTCTGTGTCAGGTCGTGTTTCTGCCATATATGTCACTATTGGTCTGATGACAATTTTGAAAATTCTGCCTGTCATTTTTTTCCTGATATTTTTATTTCTCCATACTGTTTTATTCAGGCAACCTGCGTCTCTGTTTGCTATATTCACTTGAAGTTCCTGTTTCAAGCTTTCCATAGCTAGATAGTGTGATGCCTAGATATTTAAACTCAATCTCTTGTTCTATTATCTGACCTTTTAAGCTCCAAATTACATTTTGGTGCAGCATATATTGTAAATCATCTTCACTTTGAGAGAGTAGTATTGCATCATCTTAATAGCAGATTATTTTAAGTTGTTTTTCTCCCATTTGGTATTCTTTTTTAGTTCTTACTTATTTATTATTTCATCCATGATGAGCTTGAATAACAAAGGACTCAGGGAATCTCCCTGTCTTATCCCATTCTCAGCTTCAATTGGCTCAGTTAGTTGTTCTTCTCATACTTATTGTGTTGTTTTGGTAGATATTTTCGATCATTCAATTATTCCCAGAGTTATCTCTGTTGCCTACAATAAGTTAATAACATCCTTTAATTTGACCCTGTCAAATGCCTTCTTAAGGTCCACGAAACATAGACAAGCCTGTTTGATGTATTCTAATGATTTCTCTTGCACTTGTCTCATTATAAATATAGCTTCAGTAATAATCTTCCCGGCCTAAAACCGTGTTGTTCTCTTGCTATTGTTATAATTTCATTCAATTAATTTATTAGTATTTTGGTAATTTTAGTATTGTGTTTAATAAATTAATTTCTCTGTAATTTTCCGGGTCCATTTTGTCTCCTTTTTGAAGAGAGGTATTAGGTTGCTTGATCTCCATTCTTGAGGAATTCTGTTTTGTTCAATTATTTTTTGGATTAGATTTAATAGTTGTTTGGTCAGATCTGGTCCTCCGTACTTTAAGAGTTTGTCCGCTATTATGTCCTCTCCTGGTGATTTTCTATTTTTTAATTTCCTTAATACTTCCTTTACTTATTCCTCCTCAATATTTATTTTTTCATTTGTCGTCACGTCTGGTGTTGGTGGTTCATTATCGTCACTTTCAGCAAATAGGGATCAAAAGTAGTCTTCCCATGTTTCCCTCTGAATGTGTTTCGTTTTTATCAGTTCGTTCATCTCTTTTCTTTGTCCTCTGATCATTCTCCATATTCCTTTTTGTGTTCTGTAGAAGTCGTGTTCCATCTGTTTTGAAAAGCTCTGCCAGTGTTCCCTTTTTATTTGTCATTTATCAAAACGACAATTTATTAACTCATATTATGAATTATCTGTCATTTGGAACTTCCATATTATTATGTACTCTGTATATGTATAGATTGTATAAAAATTCTCATTTGGATTTGGTAGAAACTAATTTAGGTTGTTGGAATCAACTACACTTATTGCTTTTTTAACTACATTATTACAGTTCACCAAATTGTAAATTTGTAGTTTCTCCGAATTTACAAACACTTAAATATAAAGCATTAATTTTTTATTTCAGCTAAAAAATTCAGGAACAGTGGGAGAAGATGTGAAAGTATCATATATTACTAGCAGTAACAGGGAATTCCCAATTGAATCCCAAACGGATTTTCAGATTGCTCTATATGCTTTCAGACGTAAAGCTAGAATGGGGGATATTGTTACACTAAAGTTGGACAGAATTTCTGACCAACAGAATTACAGAAATACACGTCATTCTAATGATGTTGAAACTCAGTTTGACAATGAGGCTGTATCCATTGTTTCCTCATGCTGCAATTCAGAAACTCCCCCAGAGTGGTTCCTGACTTATATGAATAAGGTAAGAAAATCATTAATGTTTTATAGGTAACGGATTTTGACAAGAGCTCTGACCTTGTAAATAACAGGTAAACTTGTGTAGTGCATCGGCATGACTCATAGCTCTTGTCAAAATCCATTACCTCTAGTACATACTCCTGGTAGTTTTATTTAGTGTAACAATCATCACAGTTAAGTTTTGTGTATAAACAAAGAGGGCAATAGATTGAGATGGGATTGTAAAAAACTCTTTGTACCCAACCAAATAATCTTGAAATTTCTTCAAATCTGCAATTTTATTTACATTTTTAGGTACCTGGAACATCAAAATTATAAATATCTTTAGACATATTTTTGTACAATTATTTGCCTTGCCTGCTGTGGTAGGCCATCTCAGTTGGTAAGGCTGGAGATCGGTTCACTTTCAGGAGGTAAAAAATTGATTGAATAAATCCAAAAATATACTGCTTAGCTATGACTTTCCCAGGAGTCGCGTGTTGAAGATGAACTGTTTGAAAGTTGAAAAAAGTCAATCTTTCAATCTTTTTTGCGCACATTCCTACAAGAGCTTTCATCAGACATGGTGAACTTTTTTTAATATTTTGGCCACCATTGTTTAAAGTTGAAGAATTTCTGGCGTTACCTTTTAAACAGTAAAGCGGTTGTTTTTGCGTGCCTTCTATATCAAATCCGTATATTGTTCTGTAGAATATATACAATCGGCCTTTTTCACAAGAAATTGTATTGCGCCAACAAAATGAATGTCCTCGAATTGGAAAATTGTGAATGGTCAGTGTCACACATATTCGTCAAAAATCTTATCAGTGCACAGTGAACAGAACTAGTTTTATCACTTGGCAGGAACTTGTTTGTTGATATAGCCCAGTAAAACGCTTATCTGGTGAGTTATTAGCTTTACTCTCATGATAAAGGCTTCCACTGCCACCCTAAATAGCATGCTTGTATCAATACCATACCAATTTCGCAAGTTCTTCAACCATGAAGTTTCTCTTCTTTCTGGACTGTGTTTGCCTGCTATTTTCCCTTGCATAATATTTTGTAGCAATCTATATTTGGGACCTCTCATTACATGTCCGAAGTACTCCAGCTTTCTCTTTTTGATACTTTTTATAATCTCAGTAGCCTTGCTGAGACGTTCTAGTATTGTGGAGTTTCGAACCTTCTCCACCCAAGAAACTTTTAAAATTCTTCTATAGCACATTTCGAAAGCTGCAAGGTGATTTAGATCACTTATATTCACAGCCCAACACTCGACACCATAAAAGGAAAACCGAGAACAGACCGAGCAGCGAAGTAGGCGGATTAGCAATGCCAGTTTTACGTCTCTGTTACATACCTTGGATATATTTCTAAACTGGGCTCTGACCTGCTCAATTTTGATTCTAATTTCAGCGTGACTCTGTGCCTTACAATTTAGTAAGGCAATCAAGTAAACAACTTGATCAAGTTGCTCTCAAGTTTGGTACTATTTACATATATAGACGGTTTTATATTCTGCTGTTTACGTATTACGAGTATTTTGGTTCCATATGTTCACATCTAGACCTGCTTCTTTACAGCTCTCAATGACTTGTTCAAGTAATGTTTGCATATTTTCCTGAGTAGAAGCTAGGAGTACTGTTTCGTTCACATATCGCAAATTATTGATAACTTCACAGTTCACAATTATTTCTTATTGTTTTCTTAAAACAGCAGGAGCGGCAAGAGGCATCCCTGCCGTACTCCTATGTTAATATTAAGAGCCTATGATTCCAAACCATCTACTTAAACTGATTTTGTTTGATTCCAATACAAATTTGCAATTATGCGAACGTCTCTGCCATCCAAGTCAATATCTCTTAGAACTTCGGTCGATATAGAGTGCTTAACAAGGTCAAATGCCTTTTTTGAGCAAGTATATCCCAAACAACCTCTTTCGTTCCAAACCCCTTACGGAAACAAAACTGTGTGTCACTTAGGTATTCCTCGCATTTATTATAGATAACATCGATTTTTAAATTGTAGTTTAGTAGAAAATTTCTGTTGTCCAACTTTCGTCGGTGTCATCACCCTCATTAACCCGGCTTAAATCTACATGTTTTTTCTTTCGCCTACGACTAACCTCCTTGGTTTTAATCAGAGTTTATAGACATGTGCCTTGAGCATTTTTCTTGTAGTTAAAATAAAAATATGCCCAGACATTTTCTGGGCTAGATATATTTTCTGAACATATACATGTTAGATTGGCTGGTTTTACTTTCTGCTCCACTTGTTTACCAGAATACGATATATACGCTTCACCCTTAACTTTAGCATTCCGCTTGTAGCTATCTTCATTCACAACATTGCGTCTTCTTTTCGGTACTTTTGTCCCATTTTCCGATTCTGTGTCTGACATTTTACAACTCAAACCAAAACTCTACTAAAGAAATAACTTTAAACTCTCACACCACAGACGTGAAGTTTACTTTGCCAGCATTCAAGTTAGAATGAAACTAACAAGTACTTAACTACAGTGTTGTCTGTCGCTGTAGACATGTAAATAACTGATCACGAGGTTTGGAACAGAAATCAGTCAAGCGAATAGAGCATTTTATTTTGCAGATCCAAATGATTTTATTTTCATATTATCCTATAAATACTTAATCTTCATGATAACAAATCATGATTAAAGTTTATATTATGTATGACTTCCATTGTTCTGTTTTATAAATTTTCCATTGTGTATGGTAAACTGCATATGTTTAAACAATGCATAATAAAATCCAAAATCTAATATATGATTCATAAAGGTAGATAAACCTCAAAATTGTTTTTGGTTATATATTTTTAGAAATTTGGATATTTATATTCCGCTAGATTTAATGTAGAAAGATGTAGAAGAATGTAGAAAATTAATTTGAATTTTCAGAGACTAATTTCTGTGTGTCATCATGAATACCTCACTGTATATCTTTATGTTCCACGTGTAATCCAAGATACACTTAGAATATTATATCCACGATATTTATTTTTAAACTTATAAGTAACATATCCTGCAATATATTTTATGGCTTCTTTGTTAACAGTTTCTTTGCATTCAAACTGATGTAGCAACTGTAAATGTTCGCTGTTGGACCTGGTTTCTAATACATTTATTTCGGGGTAGAAAGGCTTGATGAAAGAGTCAGATATTTAAATTCTAGAGGATGGGGATGATCATTAGTAGCTCCATGCCCTTATATAGAAAAAATTTTTCAAGAATATCTTGATTTAATCTCGATGTTAAAATATATTCTATATTATAATTTTTATGTAGATAATCAAATAATTCTGTCATTGACCTGTTTGTTAAAAGAATACCCTTTTGAAATGGAATTAAAGACTTTTTATTTCCCACACGCATGGTGCTAATGATGTCTGACACTTGCTGTAACATTTTTTTCTGATTTTCTATGTCTACACCAAATGATTTTTTTGTTGGATTATTTTCTACAAATTTTGATCTAGAATCAGAAGTGCAAAATCAGAAGCTTCTTTCCAAGGTACTTTCGGTGGCATAAAATCCTTTTGTCCACAATACTTTATTGCCTTTGAAACAGTATTAGAAAAAAGTTGAACAGCATGTCTAACCTTTTGTCTCTGAGAATCTTTTAGATCAAAATGAAATTTTGTAAGTTTATATGCTAAAGTCAAATCTGTTGTAGATATGTTAAGCAATTGTTCAAAAAATGTTTTGTCAATTAAAGTATCGTTAATCCCAACCCCGTGATCTAGTAGGTGATTTCGCAAACGTTTTATTGAGTGCGGCACATCAGCAAATACAAAAATCTTCAAATTATCATTGCTTGGGTGATTGAAATATGGACTACAGAAACTACTGTAAATCCAACAGAATAAAGTTTCTCAATTATAGACTTTAATATATTATATTCTGTCATGGGTTGACCAAAATTATAAAATACAGGTTGTTTCCATTGTACCATTACCACTTGACAATTTTTATGAGGTCCTATTACCTTGTCTTCCTTCTTCTCGATATCTACTCTGTTAGATAGATATATCTTATCGAACGATAAGACACACAGTTTTTCATTAGCATTGAACTCATGACATTTTTTACACATCAACGTAATAAGATCGTTTAATATACCCGGTTCTAATGAAAATGAGGAAGCCTATTTTCGAAAAGTAGAAAGCGCCGGCAAGGGGTAACCTAATGACTTAAAATATCGATACGCTTTAGGACTAACACTGCGCAATGAAAAAGCGGTTGCTATGTCTTCTGGCGACCATCACAATTTTTTTCTTTCGGGATGTAATATCTTTTCTATCTGGCCAGTAGTAAACAATTTTCCTAACAACGTTTTTACATTATCAGTTTCTTCTCTCATCTCTTCTATAGTGCTAGATAGTTTGGAATTTTCTTTTTCCAGATTAAAAATTGTTTGCTGAAGTTCTGCTAATTGTCGTTGATCATTTCTAAAAATGTTATCGAATTACTTAGATAATTATTTTTTTAAAAGCCTAAATAATATCAAATAACTTACTAAGATATTACGTTTATATTTTCCTTTTCTTTCAGCTCATTGTTGCTTAAATTATTAATAATATTTATAATATTAATATTATCAACACTACATCGCCTTCTTTTTGCCAATCTTTCGGATCTTAATGAATCCGTAACCAATCGTCTTTTTACAGGAAGGTTTAAAGTTGGTACAGCATCTTCCTTCAAGTTTCTACTTCGTGGCGTATAATTCAAAAATTGTTTTTTGAAACAAATCTCAAAACACGCATTCTCAAAATGTGTGGAACAAATTGTAGCTAAAAAAGCAACATTTATTATATAAGTATGCATTTAATTTATATTATTCCAAATAATATTACCATTTTTTAAATTTATGTTGTCTGCTCGACGGCAAGCTATAATCTATTTTTTAGAAAGTTCATTATCTTTCGGAAATTTGAAATACCTAATGTCAGTTCCTTTTGTTTTGCGGTTATAATTTCCGCAATTTGCCACGGCACACGACGGCATTT